TATCTATCTATCTATATGTATATACACACATGCAGTGTTACTTACATGCATACATACATACATACAAACATACATACAAACATACATACAAACATATATACATACATATACATATGTATATACATACATACATGCATACATCCATGTATGTATGCATGCATGCATTGTTGCATACACCCATGCATACACCTACACACACATACATACATGCATGCATGCATGCAGACATTTGCATACAGACATGTACATTTATACGGATACGTAGATACGTATACTTCATACGTAGACGTACATGTGTATGTGTATGTTCATGCATACATGTGCACATGTAAATGTGTAGGTGCAAGTATATGTTTCAGCACCAGAGCAAACGCTAGACGTAATTGACATAGTAACAGAAGAGCTGCAACAAAATCAACTGTAGCAGTGTCTTTATCCAAGACTGAGACATGAGCCACTGCAGTTACGGCTAGGTTCCAGTATTCAGGAACCTTGTCCAGTTGCAGCCGTTTCCGTCCGAGCAGGTCACCAGATCTGAATCGGCTTTAAGGGTCAGCTACGTATCTCTCATTAGGCTACGTCCGTACCACATGATGCCAGCCTTGCTGCAGCTTGCATTGTTGCCAGCTTTGCTTGCTGCTGTCTTGGAAAATGAGAGCTCCGTCTTGTCCGACCAGGAAGAGACCTGTGCCCTTCAAAGGCAGTCAATGCTTGCCAACTCGTCGGAAGCGGTCGGAAGCTCTTTCAGCAACAGCCAGGTGTGTGAATTGCTCGGGGGGATCTTCAAATCAAACAAATGTGGGCCCCGTTCCTGTGGGCGCCTCGGAGGGGGGGGCTGCAGCAGTCGCCCCGGTGGCAGCAACTGCTGCCTCGGTTCTTACGGCAACAAGCCCAAGTGCCACGAGTCGTGTGCTCCTCCTTGCAATTGGGAGGGCTCCGCAGCAAACACCTACAGCCAATGCTTCTGTGGATCACACGGCTCTTTCACGTCTGTCAAGCACCCAAGTTCGAGCAACACCATCTCCGGGTGCACTTACAAGGCCAACAATGACTTGAAGGCGTACGCTTGGTTTCACGAGCACACAGGTTGTGGAGGAAGCAATTGGCGAACTCCTTGGGTTGGTGCCGACAAAAGCGGCGTCCATGGTTCCAACCTAAATACTCGCAGGCGTCGGGTCCCTTATTTCAACGATAAGACCTCCTCCGTCGAGGTTTGTGTGGATTCCAGAGCCGGCATACTGGCAGCCGCGAACCTCTTCACAGACTACAGCTACAGAGGACGCAGGTTGACCTTGATTCGCGATCCGACCCACTTCATGTCTCAGACCAGCAAAGAGTGCGCTGTTCCAAGTCCAGACCAGGTAGGTTTTGGCAGCGCAGATGGAGACCCATTCTCCATTGTTGTGTGGACCGTCGGCACTGCCGTTTCGGTAGCGCTGGATGCCGGCCTGAAGGTGCTTTTCGCTGGCGCCCTTTCAGTTGCCACAATAAAATTGGCTCTGGTAGTTGCAGCTCTCGGTGGAGCGCTGGTGGTCGTTGTTGGAGCCGTACTCTTGGCAGCTGTGGTTATCTGGAATGCGGCCAATGATGGGACACGCTACTGCTGTTCCTGGAATCTGAACGGCGAGCTATCGGGCTTCAATGACAAGATCTCTTCCTTCATCGTCTTTCCTGTCTCCGTGCCCATGCGAATCTAAACTAGGTTTAAGCAATAGTTTCACTTGTTGAACCAATACCCTTCCTTCCATGCTCTAGAAGACTCCCCGGCGCTGGAGATAGGTTCCAAGAACAGCCCGAGGAATGGAGAACAAGGACAGCCGGTGGTGCCTCACAGCCGCAGGCAGCTCGTCGCGCAGTGCTAATGGCAATACCTGGGCTGCCAATGCAGTCTACGAAGCCAGTTGCTCAGGAACAGACAGAGAGAAGTGGTACTTTCAAGAGGATGGCCAGATGATCAATTTTGACTCTGGCCTTTGCCTTGACGAAAGCCTTGGGGGTCGATTCCCGGTGAATGATGTCTACGAGTACCGCTGCACGGGAAACGACAATCAAAAATGGGAACGACTCAGCGATGGTCGCTTCAGAAACATCAAAACCCGCCGCTGCTTGGATGCAAGTCGCGGTGGCCAGTTTTCGAGGCACGACGTTTACACGTATGCATGCAGTCGTCGTCGACGTCGTGGAAAAGGCCACAACAATCAGTGGTGGATGAAGGGCTACGACTGAGAGCTGCTAAACAAGACCTGCCGTATGTCAGCCAGAGTCGTGGCCCACGGGCCGACAAGTGGCCCACAATTTTAAGCAGCTATCCGCTGTATCTGCATCTGGCCGCTGGCTCCAGTTTTGTGTTTTAATTTGGTTAATTACGATTACGAGCTACATCGGTTTCCCCATACACGCACGCAAAAACGCTTGACTGCCCTGCCTGCATCAGTTTTCATGCGTTTGCATCATTGGCTGTGTGACGGACTGGCAAGATCAAAGCATCTCGTAGCGGAAAGCATCCAGGCCAAGAGTGGCCATGCAGAAGAGCATCAGCCTTCGGCAGTCCCGTGAGATCAAGGCGACCCGTCTTGTTGGTGAGTGCTTCATCGGGGCTTTGGGGAGTGGAAACCCTCAGGCCCTAAACCCCAAGGCCCTAAACCCTAAACCCTAATCCGTGGAGGCTCACGGATTTTGGGGCTCGGGAGCTTCTGCCTGGCAGTCAGGGCTCGGGAGATGCGGCTCTGGGTTTCCTGGGTCTTGGAGTGGCGGTGTGTCTCTGAATTGTGCTAGCTGCGGCTTGCTGGCTCCGAGTAGTATTGTTTTGATATCCCTGTCGCATTCAACGATAATCTACTCCCTACACCCTGAACCCTAAACCCTAAACCTATTTTTTTTTGAGCGTCTGGGGCCTTGAGCTCCTTGGGATTCACTGGAAATTTTGAGGAGCTCCAGCTCCTCCCGAAGCCGAGACTACCATGTGCTTTTGGGATTCAAAGTACGTGGGGTATTAAAGTTTGAACCCCCTGTACTGAGGCCGGCAGTATGCAGAAGTATATGTACGTTCATGTCCCCGAAATCCTGGTTTACGTCAGCTTTGTACATGGAGTGGGCTAGATAGGTCTAGGCACTACCGCAAAAAGTTGCTTTCCAGCTCCAGCACAAAGCCTAAAGCCCCAATTCCGAAAGCAAGCCAGCTTGGCAGGAAGCCGTTGGTGCCAACGCCTGGGCCGTGAATCAAGGCAAAGCCCTCAGACTTCATCCCGACGTACAAGCCCCGAAGCCTAAAAGCTGCAAGTCAAGACCCTGAACCCTAGATTACGGTATGTAGGTATGTAGGTATGCATGTGTGTCTGTCTGTCTGTCTGTCTGTCTGTCTGTCTGTCTGTCTGTCTGTCTCTCTGTCTGTATGTATGTATGTATGTATGTATGTATGTACCTATGCCCTGAAACAAAGACGGAAGCGCCCCGAAATCCTAAACCCTCAAGTGTAACCAGACTTCTCAGGAACCAGAGTTGCCCTGAGAGGTTTAGACTCGTTCAGATGTTGAGTGGTTGTTTGAAAGTTGCGTGCTTCGTGTCTGCCAGCTGGTTCAAGATTAGCAGCTTTGTCGTGTAGAGTGACAGCCTCTCGGAGACCAAGTGTCGCTTCGGGGCTGCTTCAGTTTGAGAATAGCTGGCCTTGCACCGACGGTTTAGGGCTTCATGAGTACCTGAACCCTATGCTATATGCCATAATATACTGCAGAGCGAAAAAAATAGACCAGAATATGCCATAAGAAGCTAGTCTGTATTACTATATGTTCTAAACTAAGGATGCTCCTCATAGTCTGTCCTTCTTGAAGCAGTACATACCTTGACGGATCTTTAGCAGAGCCCTTGTTTTTGAGCCCGCAGTTCTGCAAGGAATTGGCCTCATGCACTTGGTGCACCTGCGGCTCAGACGCTTTGCCTCTGAGATAGAGGCGAAATGATGTCCCGGCGTGGGGACAGGGTGTAGAACCTTGGAAACGAGATCGATTATGAAAGCATAGACCAGTCAGTGCTGGAAGACCCTCAGCACTGAGAAGTTACTTCATGGGCCAATGGAGGGAAATGTTGAGGGTGCTGCATAAGAAGCTTTACCTCCAAGCGCTAAATCGTAAACCCCTTGTATGATCCTTATCTTCACAAGACAAGGTCGAATTCTGCATTCGTGGGGTGGGTCTGAACCGTGATTCCACAACTCCATATCCCGAGCCCCAAGCTCTAAACCTCAAATTTTAGAAGCCTTACCCTACATTTCTGACATATGGAAACATCCCCTAAAGAGGACTTGACTCGCATGCTGGGCTGCTGCACCCTAAGCTTTGAACATATCACATGAACATATGAAATTATACTGAAACATAGTATACATCATATTATTAACATAGTATACATCATATTAGATTGTGGTGTATGAACCTAAAGCCGGTAGCCTTGTTTTTCTGCGCCTGGAACTCGAAGGCGAGTTCGTCTCGTTCGCAGGGACTCCGACAGTCCCTCATGAAGGAAGATGCCATAGTTTTATGGTTTTCGCGGTTTCTATCGCTTCTATGGCTGGGGTTTATAAGTATGCGTGAAGTGATATCAAGGATCCCTCTGCAGCTTCGGATTGGTTGCTTAGTTGAGGGGGGCTCCGGCGTCTCTGTATTTGCATGCTCTCGTTTTGCGCGCTCGCCCCCTTCGTCCAGCTTCGGCTTAGAGTTTCGGGTCTTAGGGCTTGGGGTTTGATGGCTTGGGATTTTGGTTGAATTGGGGTTTGGGGCTTTAGGGTTCAAGGCTTTAGGGCTTGGGGTTCAAGTTCGAAACTAGGAACGATTGTGTCACAAAAATGTTTATGAGCTTCCAGCAGAATCCAATATTATGGTAAGTTCATTGATTTAGTGCCTTTGTAGTAGACTTTGGCCCGTACCATCTTCCCGCACACATGTAGCCGATTGTATGAAGGACTCCACTGACTCCATTGATTGGTATGTTTTGCATGGGCAGCAGCTGCGCCAGTAGAGTTCTCGTGAAGAACAGTGGGGTTCGGAGCCACGGGATCTTTGGGTATGAGTTAGGATTTAGGAACTGCCTCAGTTCAGGTTGAGTGTCACGAAACCTTCAGCCCCAAACAGCAAAGCCAGACCTACACACAGAAAGCCGCGCGACTCGAACCCAAGACTCTGAACCTGGAGCCAGCCCTAAACCCTGAACCGGGCTCTTGTAGGTGAAGTGGGTGCTTACTACAGTGCTTGCTCTACAAGCTCTGCTTAATCAGGGGGTGTGGTGCAGGCCTTTAAGCGTTCAGGTAGTGTGGCAGGAACCCATCAGTACTGCAGGAATGCTGCGTCGGAGCCTTGCATATTTATTGCATAATGAACAACAAACCGGCTCTTGATGTTCTTTGTGGCAATAGCTTGTGGCTAGTCCGAGCAAATCAAAGGCCTGAATGCTGAGACTAGGGCTTTGGGGGTTTACAGCTTTATTCTCGAGAACCCTACGACATGATATCGCCACTCTTCGTATCCTATAGATGTCTCTGTCTGTCTGTCTGTCTGTCTGTCTGTCTGTCTGTCTGTCTGTCTGTCTGTCCGTCTCGTGTGTCTCATATGTATATATGGCTCTTGATTCTCTTAGCGCCTCTCAGAAGTGGTTTGATGCTCTGAGCCCTCTGCCGTCTTAGGCAGCGGACAAGACGATGGCCCTTTACTTTGGGAACCAAAAGCTCTACAGTCCTGCTACTTAGGGTTTGGGGTTTCCGGAGCCACAACAGGGGCCTCGTCTTGGACCGCTGCAAAATTGCATGACTCGAGAGGGTGACAAGAACCCCCTGCTGGAGGAAGTTGGGGTGGAGCCCCCAAGCCCCAAACCTCACAGCCCAAACCAAACTCCCAAAGCCCTGCATGAGACATCTACGGCTGCAGATCTCTCGGTCCTGATTTTGGGATTTGAGCGTTCAGGGTTGAGCAGCTCGTGTCCAGGATGCTCAACACAACTGTTGAATAAGCTGCTCTGTGTTCGGAGCCTACAGGGAAGATCCAAACCTAGACCCAACGATTCAGAACGGGTTTAGAAGTTTAGGGTGTAGAGTTAGGATAAACCCTCCGAAAGCCTAAACTTGAGCCTTGGAAATGGAACCCAAAGCCCTGAAGCCGAGTTTAATTCAGACTCGAAGACTAAAGGGTTCCGGGTTTTAGCCTTTAGGATTCAGGAGCCTTTCTGTAAAGACTTGTTGGTTTAAAGGTTTCGGGGTTTTATGGATGTAGAGTCCTGAGGTCCGGAACCCAAATACCTGAGCCGCGATTCACCCTAAACCCTAAACCCTAAGCCCTGCATCGCCCCGCTCGACCCCGACTCTCCAAAGCGCGCTGCCGCCTGGCAGCCCCACGCGCCGGACCATGGAATTCTTGGGTCCTTCAAGAGGGTTTAGGGTTTAGGGTTTTGTAGAGATTTTCGGTGCCCTGCTGGGCAGTTTTGGCTCTGAGGTCCAGTTTGGGACTTTGTCTTGCTCATGGTTGTTTGCATGGCTTTTTGTCGATGCTTTTTTGTTGGGTGGTGGTGGCGTGTGTGTGTGTGACATGTTTTTAAAAAGATGATTGTAAATCGGGCTTCTTGGGGTATCTCTGTATACATAAGTATATATATATATATGTATATATATATATATGTATATGTATAAACATATATATATATATGTATATACAAATATATACATATATATATATATATATGTATACATATACATACATACATATATATATATATGTGTGTGTGTGTGTGTATGTATTTTCCCTAGGTCTGAGTGCCCTTGACCTTGAAACCCAAACCTCAGAGGGGCCCAGGGGTCAACAAGGCACCCAGCCGCGTTTCTGGCAGAGCGAAAGAGAGCGGTGCTGCAGGGCTGAATTTGAGCTTTTTGGTGTGAAGGGCTGTTTACTATTTAGGGTTTCGGGCTGAAGGACCAGGGCTGAGGGTTTGGGTAGAGCCCTAAACCTAATCTCTTCGGCCCGCAGGAACGGCAGCTGTAAATCTGGGGTATAGGAAAACCTTCCAAAACACGTCCTGACTTCAACCCGTGTCCATTTGTAGAGTCGTACGAAGGGCTTTCTTGCTTTCTCACACTCTCATACCACCCTCTATCAGGCTTCGGCATGGTGATCCTGAACTGGTGAACCGAACGGCAGTCGCGGTCACGGAATGGCACGAAAAGAGCTTCTCTTGTTGCATTTTGAGCTTCGGAGCAATTTGAGCACAGGGCTTAAAGATTCGTCCCACACCCCCAATAACTACACCTGAACTCTGAACTTCAGGAAGCTTTCCCACTGCGAGCCGCATCCCAGACCCAGACCTGGTTTCCCGGACTGGTCAGAAAGTCTGGCAGTTGTTGATGTACCGCAGTAGCTAGGTATGACTTCTTAGCACTCCACTCGAATCGCTACGTAGTTTGAAATTCTCGGGTGCTTTCACGTGCTTTGCACGCACCACAGCGCCATGTTTTCGGTTTGAGCTCATGAGAAGCATGCTAAATACATTGCTTAAGGGTCAGGCCACAAGATGAGCTTCGTCGGGCGAGCAGAGTGGCCCATCAAGAACGGGCGCATTTCCTGATAGTTTCGGAGCTTGTTGTGTGAAGCTGCACCGCGGCTGGGGCACTCAGACCCCGGACCTGTCAAGAATTGCCTCCCACATACGTACATAATACTGGTATGTATGCATTATATATATATACACACACACACATACATACATGCACATACATACATACACATACGTATGTATGTACCCTTCTTGTTTGTGTGTAGCTGCAGAAAAGGTGCTTTGCAGGTCCCAGTTTGTGCACCTTCCCAGAAACACCGATTCGCAGGTATATCTCATCAGGACGACGGTAGTTTCGGCCCTCCGCAGGGATAGAAACAGGGAACCCATGGCCTGGTTCATGTGGTTCTTTCTTTCGGCCGGCCTCCACGGCACAGCCGCAACAAGCGAGCCACCCTAATGTGAATTTATATTGGCAGTACTAAATCCCCAGCCGCAGCAGGGTAAGTTCGCTTTTCGGACTTTTGATCTGGGTACTGTTGTCTTCCCATCTGTACTAGGGCGTCCCTTCTTCTTCGTCATCATCATCAGCTTTACTCTTACTTTGCTCTTGCCATGAAGGAGGTCGATACTGCTGCAAAGAGGCGGGGCTATTCACTGAGCAGCTGATGCATACATAGTCAAGCCGCAGCAAACCTTAGCCACAACAGCTACCCTAATTGAACTCTACAGGGTTTAGGGTAGATCCTTCAAGCATTATGGAGGCGCATTGCATGACGTGCGTTCAAAATTGGAACTTGGTCATCTTGAAGCACATGTGTGAACTCTGAAGGACGTTTCGTTCTAGGAGGTAGTGGATAGAAGGCAGCTGCCACGAACTCCAGTCGAAAAAAGGTTGACAGTCTTTTTGCGAGGTGCATTCGTCCGCAGCTGTTGCAGCGCGAAGTGGAATGGAAGGGGAAAGGAGCAGAATATGAGCAACTGAATCCCAAGGTTGGTGCTTGCAAGCCTGTGCCAGGCAGCTTTAGGGTCCAGCATTTTTGGGGTAGGGGATTCGCAGTTCAAACTTACGCCTGAGTGGGCTTGTGCGCCTGCATCTGCGTCTGCGAGGTGCAGGCCAGAGTTTGTAGGAGGAGTAAGAAATCAGTTTCAAATTCGAGTCCAGACTCGAGACGCGATCCGGAGTCATGTTGATGAGCATTGGCTGGATATTTGTCTGATTTCCGGCTTCGCCCACGCCCTGAACCACGCCCTGAGCCCCAAGCTCCTCCTCTCCTAGCACCAAGGGCCGCAGCCCTCTGGCCTTGATCTCAGCCTCCAAAACCTTGGACGCAGCCCCCACAACCTGAGACCCAACCCCCCCAACCTCGACCGCAAGGCCGAAACCCCAGAGCCTAAACCAAGAAACCTCAGGATGAAACACCAGCTTCGA